AAAAAAAAAAGTCTACACTGGAATGCTAATAAAAACTAACATTAGATGGACAGACCTGGGCGACCAGGCTCTAAGCCCCTGATGGGATGAGCTAAATCCTTACCCACCTCATAGAGCTCCTTGCTTCCACTTCTTTCTCAGGGGTGAGCCAGCAGCCGGCCCTCTCTCCCTCCCCAGTGTTCTGCCTGCAACTGAATCAGTTGGGATGGTGGGGCTTGTTAGGAAGATTCTGCCTTGGGGCCCCTCCCGCATAAGGGCTTTCTTCCCAAAAGGAAGCCTCAGGGGCGATTCCAAAGTTTCCCCACCCACGACTCAATTGATTTTGATTCAGTAGGTCCAGGGTGTGGCCCTGGAATCTGCATTCTAATGGCCACTCCCAGATGATTCCACTACATGGGCCAGGGACACTTAAGGGGCATCACCCCCGGGGTTACAGGGGGAGGCACGTGTGTCTCCTGAGAGGCTGCAGAACACGCAACCTGGGTAGCTTAGTCGGTTGAGAGTCCGGCTCTTGACTTCAGCTCAGGTCATGATCTCAGAGTTTATGGGTTCAAGCCCCATGTCAGGCTCCGTGCTGGTAGTGCAGAGCCTGCTTGGGATTTTCTCTCCCTCTGTCTCTGACCTTTCCCCGCCCGAGCACTCTCTGTCTCTGTCTCTCTCTCTCTCTAAATACATAAATAAACTTTAAAAAATAAAAAAGGCTACTCTATGACCCAGCAATTGCACTACGAGGCATTGATCCAAGGGATACAGGAGTGCTGTTTCGAAGGGACACATGCACCCCCATGTTTATAACAGCACTATCAACGATAGCCAAAGTATGGAAAGAGCCCAAATGTCTCTCGATGGATGAATGGATAAAGAAGATGTGGTTTATATATAAAATGGAATATTACTCGGCAATCAAAAAGACTGAAATCTTGCCATTTGCAACTACATGGACAGAACTAGAGGGTATTATGCTAAGTGAAACTAGTCAGAGAAAGACAAATATGATATGACTTCACTCATATGTGGAATTTAAGATACAAAACAGATGAACAGAAGGGAAGGGAAGCAAAACTGATATAAAAACAAGGATGGGGACAAACCATGAGAGACTCAAATACAGAGAACAAGCTGAGGCTTGTTGGAGGGGGTGTGGATGGGGAGATGGGCTCAATGGACAAGAGGCAGTAAGGAAGACCCTTGTTGGGATAAGCACTGGGTGTTATACACAGGGGTTGAATCACCGGAATCTACTCCTGAAATCATTATTGCACTAAATGCCAACTAACTTGGATTGTAAATTTAAGAATAAATAAATAAGTAAATAAATAAAATTTACAATAAAATAAAAAAGGCTTGTGCCTTACATGATCTCCCCAGAGCCAAGTGCATGGGACAGACCCTCCTCACTGCCCACCCCCAGCCACACCCACCCTCAGTGCCTAATGCCACTTGTGACCTCTTTCCTTCCAGAGCTGCCCTGGATGTTCATTCCAACCCATTTCCAGGTGGACGAATGTGAGCAAAGGTGGGGCTGGAGGCCACAGAGTGACCCAGCTGTCCCTATGGGGTGGCCCTGTGCTGAGCCATTTTAAAGCCAAGCTGTGGGCCTTTTCAATGTAATCTTGTCTTCTCGACAGTTAACAGGTTTCTCTGAGTAATCGATGTCCACTTAGGAGCTGTTGTGGACACACACACATACACACACGCACAAATACAGGATCTAAAACCCTTTCACAAGAGCTTATGACGTGGCTAAAGGAAGGAAAACTGACAGACTGCTCTTGTTTACCTGATGTCATTTGAGAAGGTACTGTTCTGTAGGTTTAATTTTAAAATGATGTT